AAGCAGAGACCAGACACCAACGTTCGGGTTAACAGAATCACCTCAACACCTGCAGCTCCCACGTTAAAATTATATGTTATTGGAGAAAATTATAATTGGATCTGATGAAATATTCTGATAATCTCAGTGATAACAAGAAGAAAAAATTCTTTGGATTCTGATTATCTTAGAGCCGGAGCCTTTCCGAAAGACCGAATAAGGGCAGAATTTGCCGGGTCTCGTCTGTGCAAAACAACAATTGTGGTTCACTTAATCCTTAGTTTTTTTAACAATAGAATGCTTATATTCCCTCCCACAGTTAGGAATAGCATGACTATTGACATTTTATATGTTGAAATCCCATTTCTAGAAGCAGCTGCAATGCTCATTCCACCAATACAATGTAAATCTCGTTCATATGTTCTGAATGTTTGACGTTCAGACAAAAATTACGCAGTACAGTTGGCAAACATGCATAAGTGCTTTTCGTTTGCTTTAAATACACAATGATTTGCTCTGGAATTAATCGTCTAGAAGGTGGAGTATGGGCAGTTAAAACTGCATTTGCAACTTTTGGAAAAATTAATGAGGAAAAAAAAGGGTCTGTAAGAATTTCCTGCTTACAAGAAGGAGTTGTATGAATTGAGGTGGAGCTCTATAAAGACTAACTGAATCTTTTGCTATCTGTTCTCTTGCATTTTGTTTTTTGCGCTAAAACACAAAAGGATGTGCGAGTGAATGCTAGATTACTAGTTGTCAGACCTCGTCTTCACGCGTCGTTGAATCCTCGCAGAGCCATCCGTAATAGCTGCATCCGTATACGCACAACAATCGCTGGGAGTGGGGTGAAACGCAAAGGTATAGGTATTAGAACCCCTTAGAAACTGGTTTGCAGGGGTGTTTAAGAGGGTTGATTGTAAATAAAATCGTTTTACGATTTGTTGTCGCACAATTAGTGGTTAATTGTGGTTGGAGATTTTGAGTAAAAAGAGTTTGAAATGAGGTGAAACAAGTGGGATATTGCTAATTGCTACTGTAGGATTGCCCAAACTTGTGTGTGACAGTGAAAGTACCAGATAGAGTGAGGTTATTATAGAAAAAGAATTTGAAT